ATTTGTTTTAAGATTTGTTTGTCATTATTAGTCACTAGCCATTTATTTCCATCACCATAGCCTGAAAGTGCAATATTTTCCTAATCATATTTAAGATACACTCAGGGAGTAAATTGAAAAATAATGGAAAATTTCCCAAAACTGTGAAAAACACATGCTGTCTTGATATTATGGAAGTTACATGCTCCTCATAACATTACAAGTTTTTTATTCCTCACACAGTCAGGAGCGAGAGAGGATATGCTTGAGTAATGGTTCATGAACAGAAAAGGGCTGACAGTTGGGTAACCCCCGGTGATTACTGCAGCAACATTCACGAGGAACCTGTTAGGATTGTTATACAAAGTGAAAAAAGCTTGGAAAATGGAGGAGAGGGTGTAAAAATAGACAAAGGTGCTGACCAGGAGAATGATGGTTTTGGTGGCTCTAGTTTCAGGGGAGACTCTACTGGGGATGTTGGTCTTATGAATATGCCGCATTCTCAGCTTGTGTCTGTACAGGATGGAAATCAAGGAGCTGCTGGTCCAGAGCATGAGCCCCACACACAAAGCATCAGGCAATGACAGCAGTGCTGCATGAAGGACTTTCCTAGAGTTTTGTTGGGAAACACGAGAACAGTATCCAAACTCTTTATTGTATGTGATATTTTTATGGTGCAATTTGTCAGTAACATTCGGAAGAACAATGGTGTTTAACAGCAAGTGGAGGATCCAAAAGAAGATAATGAAAATATTTATGTACTTGTGGACTGTTAGTTTAAGCTCTGCCCACCTGGAGTTCCCAGGGCTGATCGTGATCACCTGGAAGACACTCAAGAGGCAGGTGCTGCCAATGGACACACCTCTGCCTACTCTGTGAACATAGAAAACAAGTTTGCATCCGAGGTCATTGAGGAAATCTTTCAAGCCAAATGCTGCCATTGTTTCAGGAACTCCTCTAAACAGAAGGACCAAGGAGTTGGCTACAAACAGGTGCTGGAGAATTTGATCTGTGAATGTTAATCGGCACTGAGCAAAATGAAGGCAAGTATAGTGGCAAACAAGAGAGAAATTTCCCAGTGTACCCATGAGAGTCTGCGAGAAGTAGACCACTGCCATTGCCAAATCCCTGGAGGCCATTGAGCCAGGGCCAGTGTGTGATCTTTGTGTTCACAGCAGCGTTTCCTGCATTGAAATGTACAGAATGGCCTATATTCATCAAAGAACTGAAATTCAATACTCTACCTATAAGTGTACACTTAGAGTTATTTATATGAAAGGTTTATTTGTATAAGAGGTTTCCAGAATTAAAGGAAGGATTTGAAAGTGAATAGTATAAAAACTGATGTTAGATCACCCCTGGCCTTTTCTTCATACTTCATAAGCCTATGAGGCAGGCACTGTGATTATTCTATTTGTAGAGCTGAGCATATTCATTAAGAGGAGATGTGTGGGATTTGTCTACATCAAATGCTACTTAGGTGCATATTGGGCCTTGAAGCTGGCAGAGGTGGTAAACTATATTTCATTTAGCCTCAGGGTTAGTCCTAGAGCATGAGACAGCTTTTGTTTGAATAATCCTGGCTTATAATTTAATTTCTTATCTCTTGCCTTTTTGTTTATATGAGTGTTATTTTATTTTATAATTTTGCTTGTAAATGTTTTCTATCTGCAAATCTTTATTTTACAAATCAATATCAATTATGAGACACTAGAAAATGTGGAGGCAGAGATTGTAATTCCATGCTACACATCCCTGCAAGTTAGATTACATTTTTAGGATGATAGCAGAAACTCTCATTTGGTTTTAATTAAGAGGCAAGTGTCCAGTTACATAATTTAATCGTAATATACTCTCTTCTAAACCAAGGGCCTCTAAATACAAAGACATGAGAACATATTAAATGGAGGAATCAAACTGACACAAAATTTTATGCATACACTTACCATATTTGAATCCCTGAATTATTGAAGTGACAAAATGATTTGAGAGAAAAATTAGGATACAAACATGTATGCAAAATGGAAGTGATAAAGTGATCAATGTGCAGTGTATAAGTAGAAGTAACAGAGCACAATCTCATATTCACACATTCATTTCAGCATAAGTGTCTCTGAAACCTGAGCGTGCTGTTTGCCTAACACTAGCATGAGAACAACTCTGAACGTCATCAGCCAGATGTTTTCAGCTGTCTCCACTCTACTCCTGCTGCCTCCTTCATGTGAAGAGTGGGAGGAATCACTTCTAGTCCTGCTGCTGAGATTCAGATGCAGCACTTCATGTTGACTACAGAAGCATTTATTGCAAGCTTAGACATTTTGTATGCGGATACATAATAACTTTAAAAACTGAGTCTCTGAGTCCAATTAGAACATTGGTTTTCAAGACACAATTCCTGAAATCCGCCTTCCATTATCACCATGCTACACATCACCAATGCGAGTCACTGTGAATTCCCCAACTTTTCATTATTAAATTCAGACATTAGATTGTGGAGGGGGTGTGAGACTCCCCTCTGTTTCTTAGGTCTTCTCATGCTTCAGAGCTTCCACTTCCCTCCCACACATCGCTGGTGCTCATTCCGTCTCAAATCCACAATAACTTTCCTGATTGTTTTAAATACACAGAGTGCTGACCCACCTCCTCACCTATCAGATCTGCCTCTGATACTGATATGTGACATACTCACCTGCCTCCATCCAGTTACCAGAGCTCTTGCTGATGTGTGATTCCTCTCACACCCAGTGTGTCTGTGGGAGAACTGACCAGACCTCAGATATGTGTTTGTGAGTGGGTGACCTTACCTCCCCACAGGGCAGGATTGTCATCCCACTCTCCCCATTGCAGTGTAGTCTTTGGGGGAGTGGAACACCCATCAAAAACTTCTTTCCAGGTGCTAATTACTAAGACCAATTACAACTTTCCAGTTACTCTCTCCTCAGAGACAGTTGCAAATCCAAGAAAAGCTCTTTCATCTCATGACCCCTTGAGGCCAATAAGAACTCAGAGGGAAGACAGCAGGACATACTGAGGTCTGACATATCAGGTCCTAAAAGCAAAACACCAATGTTTCACAGAATTCTGTGGTACTGTGAGAAGCTCTCAGACCCACTTTTAATTCTTTTCTAAACTTCAGACTACTGGGCTGCACCATCATGAAATGAGGGAGCAAGAGTACAGTCACAACAAAAACCTGAAAGGAAATTTTGAAGAGCTGTAATGACAGCGAAGAAGTGTTGTTTATAATGTCCATGAAAAATCATGGCAATCATCAGCACAATGCAATGGAAATTAATTTGGAAATGTAGGTGGCATGAAAATTTTGTAGGAACATGTATTTTACCAATGTTCATATCTCTAGAGTGAGAAATTATAGAGAAATATAACCATCAAAGAGCAGAATATATGAGTTCATGTAAATTAAAAAGAAAATCAGGTGTTAAACAGGAAGATCTTAGCATTTCTTTTTTCAAAGCATGCATAAGAGAAGTCAGTGTGAAAACTTTATTTAGCCTAGCTGAGTGTTTAGTACCGTTCTCCACATTTCTTGAATTTTCAGTCATTTGGAATTAATGAATCAATATATACTGTAGGCATACAAGCTAACACTCTGTGTTTTCCAAGAAAGAAATCTATAGTTTCATCATGGGGCAGTGTTAAGTTCTCTTACTTCAATCACACTCCACACATCCACTTGTGAAGTCATGGATTATAGCCTTATTGAGGTGCAATCTCTACACACTAGATTCACAAATGAATGCACACACACATGCACATGCATTCCAAGAATTTATATGCAGGTGTAAATGCACAACCAAGTGCTCTCAGAGGTTGCAGTATGTAACTTTATTACAAATACTACTACGAAACCAGCCAAGCACGCTGTAGAGGAGCTTGTGTCTACTCTGGACTGTGGTCAACACCGTTGTTGAAGGCCCGGCATAGTACTGAGGCCAACAGGTTCACTCCTAGGCATCCTGCAGCAGCCCCAGGGGCTGAAAGCTCAGTTCTTTGTAGTCATGCTGTGCTATGGCCAACCACATGGCCCAACTCATCTTCCCTGAGGGTCGTGCCCACAAGGCTCAGGCAATGAACACCTCAGCTGGTAAACAAGGAGTGTGCTATACCTTCAGCTCATGGCACAAGGGAATACATAATTTTGCAGGCAAGAGAAACTTGGCAGTTCAGAGGACAGACTCGCCAGGAATCACGGGTGCTCATGACCTTATTCAGGGGAAGATTTGGTCTTGACTTCAGGAGAAACACATGTTACTTCTGAGGTGATTCTGGGTCATTTGCACAGATGATTTCAAACACACTGTGTTAGTAATGACAAAGCTTGGAGTATATGAGACAAAAAATCTTAAAATATATACTCAAAATGGTGAGCTGTGTGCTGTTCTGAGCTCTCAAATTATAGACTGGATAACTTCCAAAGTAGAGCTCTGGTGTTGCTTAAATGGCTTCTAAAGAATTATGTAATTTTCCTAATCTGACCAAGCATCTGATTGTAACAGTTCCACTGCAGATATGCAGTGTGCACCATTGTAACTGATTTGTTTCACCTCATTTTGAAGATACCGCATCTTTTTACAAATTCATGGTTTGAGCAACAATGAGTTTAGTGTGTATATGAGCGCTTATTCTATCCTACATGTTAACTTTGTATCCAGTGTCATAATTTGTTCATGATATCGGTATTTCACTTTTTCAATTAAAATTGTATGTTTTTCTGGTGATTCAGACACAAGTGCAGGATCAGCAGAGGACAGTGCGTGTGTTCATGTACTTGAGAGCATTTGCCTCACTCTCTACACCAATCCTGGAGTGGCTGTGACATCCTGGAAGACACTCAGGACGCTGCCACAGACTCTGCCACCGCAGCCAATGCTAAAAATAACCACCAGTTTATACAGTCACTGCTGGTTGCCACTACGAGTAATCACCACTCTGCTGGATAAAACATTTGGTTATGGAGTGGTCTGAATGTAAACTTTCTGTGGTCAGACGGGCATCTCCCCAGAGTGAGTGTCGGTTGTCCAAACAAGTTCCCCAGAACACTCATGGAATGCACTCTTTATTGATTGCTGTAACTCCTGAAAAATCACATGAATAAAGAAATGGGTAAAGAACACATCCTACTTCTACACAGAGGAGCACTGCTTTGTCACAGAGAAGGATAAACCTGCATTGTTTCTAGGAAGATGGATCCGCCTAGAGGACAAAATGTTAAGTGAGCTAAATCAGACTCACAAGCTTAAATATTACATGGTTTCTCTTATACAAAAAATATATAAATGAATAATAAAATAGAAAGTAGGAAATTGCCAGGTACATATTTTGTGAAAAGTAAGAGGAGCAAGATAAGGAGGAAGGGAAAGGGAGGCGAGGATGGAAGATGAGAAATTAATTAACATGCGTTGAGTACAGGTAGAAATTCCCCATGTAGCATGTTCCCATGATGCACTGCAAATATGTACTAACAAAAGGGGAAAACAATCAGCGCTGCTGCTGCTCTCAGGGAATCTCCACACAGGCAAGCTGCATTAGATGCAGTTTACAGGGCCTTGGGGAGTGTGAGTATTTTAACACTGGGCATCAATCCCTTTGCATCCCTTTGACCTTCTAGGGATTCATCCTGGGACACTTATTGAGCAAGAGGGGGCAGCAGCACCTGGGGAAGTAGGGGAAGGGTTGGGACTGTAGTCGTTAGCTAAACTGGCTTCCTCCCCAGAGCAGCCAGGGTGTAGCTGTCAGAAAACCATAAGGATTGCAGAAGGTCACCGAGGCAGATTGTTCCGTTGTATTCAGGGGATGAAAGGTGACTGAAGGGAAGTGAGGAGGGCCAGTGTGTGCACTTCTCTAGTGAAGGGGAAAGGCCAAGCCATTTCTTTCTGCCTCGTTTCCTCTTCACCTCTTCAGCTCCTTGGACACATTGCTCTTACCGTATGGAAAGAACAGCAGGTCATCCTTTTCTGGATCGATTGAATGATGATATCTCACACAAAAATTTCAACCCATGATAAATCTTTAAACATATGAATCAGTAACTGACAAAGAAGGAGGGAAGCAGGCACAATCACAGCTCAGTGGCAGTACAAAGTATACTTAACTGCTAATGAAACAAGTCAAATAAACT